ATGAAAGGAAAAATTGGAATCAGACTTTTTGAACCAAAACAGTTTGAAAATTAAAAAAATATATATAATTATCCCATGTAAAGTGTGGAAAATGATCACAAAAAAGACTAAAGTTTCCATTTGTTTTCAGGAACCTTTTACAGGAAACGGGGTTGTTCTATGGTGCGATTTGTTGCTATTTCCCTGAATCTTGTGAGGGGTGGGGCTTTGTGGTGGATTCTAATTGGTTGAATTTTGTAAGTGTTCTGCCTTAATTTTGTTCATATAAGGCCAGTTTAAACTTCACTGTGACTTACATTATCTGTTACCTTTAAATATTGTTGATTTAAATTACACAAATTGGCATGAAGCTTGACATTTCAGGTTTCACAATCTTATTTATTTTATTAATAATTTCTTCGTTTTAAAAATGGAAACATATTTTCCCTTTTCATACATCAGCGGTCAGAGGAGATGTGGGTGTCTTTACTGTGCAGTTGGGTAGAAGGAATTTAATTTCATAAGAAATTGGCTGTTGCAAATTTTAATTTATTTCGGTGATTTCCATTTGCACAACCTTATGGAAATGGAAACACGCCAATTTAAAAAAAAAACAACAACAAAAAAACAAACATTTTTGATCAAAAGTTTTTGCGCTAGGATGTTGTGGTTTTTCGGCCATATTGAAATGGATGTATTTCGCAAAACTGCAGTGGAAACACTGTTTTTGTATCACAGGAGTCACATGATCAACACCCGGATGTCACTACTGATGAAAGGCATGAAGACAACGGGAAGTGGAAGGATGATTAATTGTATTTATTTTTTAAGGGAAATGTGCAGCTGGCTCCACCAGCACACAGTTCATAAGAAGTTGTGCTTCATTCGAACGTGCAGAATCCCTGACAAAAAATATGTAGCTGCTCCCAGGCTGAATTCTCCTCCATGCCATGGCTGAATTATGAATATATCTCATGTAACTGTCTACATCTGTCACTGCCTTAATTTTTAATGACTTGTGGCATGTACAAGCTTATTCAAAGAAATTTTGATTTAATTTCTTATTTAATGGAAACACCACAATTGCGAAATTCAGTTTGTTCGACATTAACAGAATACAGACAGAGATTTGCACACATTTGCAATGGAAGCGCAGCTGGTGGCGATCGACGGCGTTGACATGAAAAGCGGCGTAGTTGAAACCCATACACAGCAAACATCTGTTATTGGAAACACTCATTCTTTTCAGACATTGATAAATGGTTGGTATAATTTTATTTGCTGCACAAACACAAAAGCTGTTTTTGGGGATTTTTTTATTTTTTATTTTTTACAGATTTGCTATCATTTCACTTGTCTTTTAGTCTATAACACACTATCTTATGTCCCATTATTTTTAACTTGTTAGTTACAGAGCAACCAATATCCTGTACCCCCTGTAGATCAATCTTGTAGTTTGACTACTGTATTTATTCTGCCTCTTCCCAGGCTCTGTTGCTGCTGGCGACTTTACCAACTCCCAGCTGCGCAACCCCATCTCTAAGCTGTTGAAGACAGACTCCGGGTTTGGGAGTTACGGCCCTCAGAAGCCTTTAGAGGACTCCTTGCAGAAGAGGGAGCTCCGCCTAATGAAAAACAGGTAGAGGGGGACCAGTCATTCTCTCTTGTTAGGTAATTAATCTGTTAGCTTTTCTGTGACATATGTTTGAAGGAAAGAATGACTGTTGTGGTTCTCCAGCCGCAAAATGCTATCTTCTTTGCATCGTTTCAATCATCCATCCAACCAAAGTGCAGTTCTACTTTAGCGTCATTGTGGCAGTCATGACCTAAACATTACAAAGAAGCTTTCATTATTTATGGCTCCAATATGCCCTCCGTTTAATCCGGGGAGAGGAGCCAAAGATGTCCAGGCCTCTAATCGTTGCCGCTGTCACTTCCAGGGAAGCTGCGCGAGAGTGCCGGCGAAAGAAGAAGGAGTACGTCTCGTGCCTTGAAAACCGTGTGGCCGTGCTGGAGCAGCAAAACAAGACTCTCATAGAGGAGCTCAGAGCCCTGAAAGACATCTACGGACACAAAGTGGAGTGACTGCGTCGCAGAGGAGATGGGCATCTTGGGATCCTGTGGACTTTTGTCTGTTTCAGTGGCGTGTTTTTGAATGGAGTCTGGAATAACAAAACGCGCTGACACAAAGCACTCCTCGTCGTTAATTTTCTGTGTTCACACAATGATGTCAGGATTTCAAGGGTCGTAATTATCCAACACCATCAGAGGACAAACAAGAGCGAGCATTAGGAGGGAAGGTTTGTAAGCGCACGCCGGTGTTTACTGGTCACAAATGGGTGAAGTTGAGCGAAAATAGCAGAAGTCACTGCCTTTATTCATGCCACTATCTCATTTTATTTGTGTCGCATTGTGTATTCCGCGTGATTAGCTCGGCAGGCATTGTTTTGTATCGCCAGCTGATGTTGTGAGAAGAAAAAAACTTGAGAATGTATTTCAAGAAAATAAATTTACTTTTATTCCACTCTAAAAAAATCTTGAATTATAGTTGCAGGATATTTCATATTTTAGCTGAAAACCAGACTCAAGACAAATATCATTGCTTATTTATTTTTGGGCAGGTTTTTTTTTTTTTTTTGCCTCAACAGTTTTATGTTAGATGTATATTTTGTTAATAAAATCTTCTCATTTGTTTGGTGAGTGAGGAAAGGAGGTTCATATTAACAATACTGTTTAAACCAATTTTGCCTGCCGGATTTTGTGTTTTATTTATTTTGTTATGTGTTTTTATTCTCTGCAAACACTGTTTGATGGGTTTAGTTTCACCATATTAAAAGATCTTAGACTTTTACACCGATTTTGCCCAAATAGTTATTTCATCTCGATACCGTGCCAGTGCGGATGCAATTTATTGTACGTGTTCTCCAGTTTTTAAGTTTACATTTGGAAAAGTTGAGAGAGTGAGGTTTTAAGAGGAGATTTAAACATATTGATAAAGATTTGAAAATTTAAGGAGTTTTATTTAATGTGGAGGAAGTGGTATATCATAAATTAATTCAGTTAAAGAATGCTTTATTAATCCCATGTGATTCTTCACATGTTCCAGAGTAGTTCCCAAAACAGAACCTTCAGGAACAAAGCATTAAAAAGAAAGATGATAGCTTTATTTTATAAATGCTATCATCCTCTGTTATAATTTTTTTTCTTTACTATAAAACTGATGTATTTTTATTTTACCCAAGGTTATTAAACTTTGAGGCTTTTATACTAACTCATACCTCAACAAGTGCATAAGAGAGCTTTTACCATCTTCATATTCAACCTTGTGTGACTACTCATTTATTTTGTCCTTCAATATTTCTACCACTATCAGATGTTTTGTCACATTTTCCAGCATAAAACCATATTAATCTAAACACCTAAGTGTGGACAAGTGTGGAATTTTGCCATTAGCAACGTGTAGGGAGCATAGATTATAATTATGGAAGACTTACTGACAGAATAAACACAGATTATAACTTTGATTAATTTTGTACTGCTGGAGATCTGAAACACAACTGAATGAAACAAAACCACACTGGAAAACTCACCGAGCTGGAGTAAGACGTACGTTTGATTTTTAGGTTATTTCCTGGATCCAATCACACATTGTCAAACATGGCAACATCGATAAAATATGTTAAAATGGTAAGTCAATTAACACACACACACACACACACACACACACACACACACACAACGTTTTACTGACTGAACTGTAAAACATTCAGTCATAAAAAGCATCACTCAAACACAAAACTCACCACATATCAAAAAGTGCAATGTACTTGGATTACCAGTAGGATGTGCCATACCATCGTAATTGAATGCAGCTACCGCGTGATTATCACGCTGTGTGCAATAAATCTGTATAAAATGGTTTTCACTTTTTAGCAAATAGATACATTTATTTCATGGAGTCTCCTAATTCAAACTGGATTCACAACTACAACCAATGGAAATAGTGTGTAAGACAAACTCTTTCAGAATTCATCAATACATTAAATTAAATGAGAGATTTGTGCACTTTCTTTGGATTTATTTCCATATTTCATCAAAAAAAAAGATAAAATGATACAAATTAAGAAAAACAAGAATATTATTTTATTTTTTTGGGGGGGGAGGAGGGGGAAAACTGAGAAAACAGAAAACCGTTTAGGTTATTGTGTACCCAACTGTCAATTTATTTAAATCTGCAAAATGTTAAAGAGACTTTAAATCCAATACTCTCACCCAGGGGCCCATATAATACCGAGGCCGCCACTGTATGCATCATAAAATTTTGTGTATAAAAGAACATTTTGGAGAATAAAACGTTTTTGTCATATTTGTCGAACACAAAATCCTACAGAGAGATTAAACAACGTATTCCAAGGAAAAATATTGGAGTTGCTGCGTCCATCACAACACCGGTATAGGTCACTTATTATTACAATAGTATTTATTACATTGCCTGTAAACATTAAAAAAGGATCACTGTGAAAACAGATCGTCTTCAGAAGCACATCTGCACTAATCCAACTGTAAAACCCAGGGGACTATCACTGTAGTCTATTTATTACTCAGTTGTAACCACCCACTTGAACCGGAAACGTTTCTATCACGGACACAATGTGGATGTGTTCAAGTACCGACATAAATGTTGTAATTTCCATTCGTTCTTCGACATACAACATCATTATGTTTTGGGAAATATAAAAGCAAGGTGGTTAGCAAATAAAATCTGTTCATTGTCTTATCCAGTGTGCTTTTTTATTTACCAATTTTAAAATGTAAGGTAAACCGTAAGAAAGCTACTTGTTTTTAAGCATAGTTTTAACTATGTTTATCATAACTAGGAGTAACTGAATTTGGTGTTTTTAAAACATAAAACTAGTGATTTTATTCACTTGCTACTTTATTTTTCAGGTGCTAGCTACATCGAACTTGTTCAGAAGAAAATAAATAGCGCTTTAAAAAGTCCTACTTTATGCGAAGTACTTGAAAGCAGCAGAGCAGCGGATGTAGCTGCAACAGCAATCTACTGTACAGTGGCAACAATGTAGCAGTCAACGCTGAAATTTATTTTCGAATTGTTTAGGAACGGCGTTGTAACCTTTATTTATGTCGATAAAAAGTTTCGGGACACCAAAATGCCTTTGTAACGATAGTTGTGAGTCCTGTCAAGAAATACGAGGCTAAGGGAGTCGAGGGGAAGCCGAAGCTCTTAGAGGCGCTGCCTGTCCCCGCTTGAAGGTTTGGAGGAGGACGCTGGGCTCCTCTTCTGATTTACCGACCCGAGCTTCTCGTTTCTCATCAGTTTTAATGGCTCCGCTCAACCTTCGGGACGCCATTGGAACACCGGAGAAGGGCGTGTAGCGCTAGCGGATACCGGGGGAGCAGCTCGTACCGTTACCGCCCCGTTTCTCCCCCCCTTCTCCAGCAACACCGACAGGACGGTAAATAAAGCAGTTGGGGCGGCGAAGACTGTCACCGGGGCCCGCGTACAAAATGGGGAATACAACCTCCTGCTGCGTGTCGTCGAGCCCCAAACACCGGAGGAGCAACCACTCTAGGCTGGAGCCCTACCGACCGGAGCCGGAGCTGAGTCGTGAGGACACGGGCTGCAATCTCCAGCACATCAGCGACAGAGAAAATATTGACGGTAAGACGCAGACTGACAGGTCTGAAGTGAAGTTCACTGAGTTTTTGAGTATATTGCTAAATGAAAATTCATTTTTAGAGTATTTAAATACCGTTAAAGTGGATGTAGTGGTTTACCTATAGCATCTCTGCAGACTTCAGCTGGAGTATTAATATGAGAGCTTGCCACAGCTGTGCAAAGACACACCCACTCATCAAATCAATACGCACATTTCTGCAGGTTTTTTTTTTTTTTTGACACATTTTACATTTATGTTGGTTTTACTTTTATCTCGAGTTTTTCCTCAGCCTCCATCTTTGTGGGAGTGGATCCGGGATGCAGGAGCCTGTAGCAGCTTATTAAGGTGTTAGTGTGAATTACTGTTCCAGTGGGAATACATGTGATAATAATGAACAGAGAGGTGAGAGACTTCAATATACTTACAGTCATATGAAAACAGATTCCCAGAAAACCTTCTGGAGAAAAATGTATTTTAAATTTTTTTTTTTTAGAAACTATCAGATCAAATTAAGACAATTAGAGCTCTCTGAAAGCCGAAATTCTTCTATTTTATGTCCCCCAGCTGACATTTATACTTTTTCAGCGTTCTAACATAACATGCTCTTTTTCTAAAAACCTTATCAGGATTGCCATAAAATGTTCTGCAGACTTTTTTAATTGACACATGTTCTGCTTTAAAACAATTTGTAATATTAGTCGTTTTATTCAACTCAAATCTTGTTTGTTAGATTTTCACAAAAACAGAAACGATATTGTGCCTCGAAGCAAAATAATAATAAAAAAACTCTCTACTTAAATTATTTTTAAAACTTATAAATGCATTCTAAAATTGAAATAAATAAATATCCAAGGCCAGAATCAATTCATTATCTGACCACATATCAGATCAATTTTTGTTTTTTCTTTGGCTTATAGGTGTTTAGCATTTTGTGGCATAAGTGAAGTTTTAAAATATACTTGGATCATGACATCATTCAACAGTCAGCCAATCGATTGTCATTGCACAGCGTTTTCGTAATATCCGTTTTATTCTTTGCTCTGTTATGAATAAATTCCTTCAAAGCAGCCACACTCATTGCCACATTTTAATGTCTTTAATTTTAGAAAGCAGAACAAATCTGATATTTTGACTGAAAAGCATTTCCGTAAGGCTATTTTTATTATTATGGCCGCTTTTAAAGGCACCGCTAGGTTGACTTTTCTCTTTAACATAAAAACTGATTCTGTTCAAACTTAAATTAAGAGGATTGAGCTGTTATTTTGGGAGCTTAATAGTAAAATTATCCCATTAAATTTATTCAAAAGCCATAATCAAAATCGTGAAGCAAATATACATCAAACATGTTCATCGGTGTTGCAGTTATCAGCTCTAAACGTGGGATTTTAGGTTGAATTTGGCAGTTTTGCAGTTTTCTGGAAGTTTGTGTTTTTGTATTGCAATGATGACAAAAATGATGATAAAAACCTATTTCACACTTAATTTTTTTTCTTTTGTCTGTAAATCTATTGTCACATACATCCAGAGTCCTGCTACAACTGCAGCTCTAAAAACAAAATATAAGGTAATTCTCTACATTTCTTACACCAACAGTGGGGGAAAAATGTTAATATTCTCAACCAGTTCTTAGTTTTTAATGTTTCCAGACGTCATAGATAAGAGTTTATTATAAGTATCACATGATTGATATTAACATTGGGTTTTTTTCTAAAATATAAAAAAAATAAAAAAGAAAGAAAATGTTAGATGATGCAATAGTTTTCTATGACTTTATACTGTTTGGGATTTGACAGCATTGATCCTGGGTGGACGTTGATTCAGCAAAAGTGAAAGATTCAGGCTTTGCTATGGTAGCAAATCAAACAACTTTATAAATCTCCATCAGACCACCCAGATAGAGGGTTTCTTTCTTTTTCTTTCTTTTTTTGAGGGCACCAGAGTATAACTACAGTGATTAGCTTGGAAATTTGAGGAAGTGGGAGTAAATGAAGAAAAGGAAGTTTTCCCAGCATGTCACCACAGTAAAGGAAATTGCTTACCAGAGTTCAGTTTTTTGTTTTTTTTTAACAGTAGGAACTGGCTTTAATTCTCCCTGTTGGAGCAGAATATTCTTGTTAATTTGAAGCTGATAGACAATAAGCTGACATTTCCTCACATAAGGAGATAAGAGAGAGAAGCTTTATGCTCTGTGGAACAGTGTTTGTCTAAGTTTCCTTTCTCCAGTGCCAGCTCCCTTAAGTTAATAATGAGGCGTGGTTGAAGTCCTGAAGCATGTCGTCATTAGCGACTTGGTAAATAATCATTGAATGAGTCAGTTTGCTTTACATTTTATATAAGGGAAATGTCTGGAAAAAAATAGGATGCTGACGTGGGTTCAGTTCTTTTACATAAAGGTTCTAATTATCAAAGGTTAAAACAAATCCTTTTCTCTCACTTATTTATTTTCCCTCCAATAGATTCTAAACACTATCTGGCTTGTAACTCGGGTCATTCATAATAACAATAATAATTCTGAACAAATGGGCTCCGCTGGTTGTAAAAATAGGAAAACGTTAACTTCTACTATATCCTTTTTTAAATAAAAGAAATCACATCTCTAAAGTAAGCCTGTTGCAATAAGCAATTAGTCAATTAATTGTATGATAAATTGAAATGAGCCTGATCATTTCCTATCTGATGAAGGGCAATTTTGTTTACAGACACATCATGATTTTCTTTTATTTATGGTTTCGCTTGTGTTTGGTTTTTGTTTGTTGTTTTGAGTTGTTGTTATTTTGGCTATTTAAAATATCATTCAGCTCCAATGTTGAGTGTTCTGTTCAAAATTAAAGTTTATTTTGCTACGTTGTGCATCTTTCTCCATCCCACTTAATGTAAATCACAGCGATGGCTTCTCTTCAGTTTTAAAATTAGTGTATTTTGTAATGTAAACACTTTTTTCACAGCACACAAATCACTTGATCTACAACCGAATGTTACTATTGGCGTAAAAGACAAAGAAGACTACAGGAAGTAGTAGTAGGATATTGGCGCCACATGACATTTAACCACTTATCACGCAAACAAACTTAGTCGTCTGTGATTTTATTTGTGTTTCTTCTTTAATGGAAACACTGTAGTTGTGAAATTGTGTTTTTTCCGCATTAGTGGGATATCAGTAAAGTTTTGTGCACATTTGTAATAGCTTGTCTTTGAACAGTTTTCAGTTAAATAACCAGAGCTGATTGACTGCTTGTGCTTCTGATTTTTCCCAGTGGTTTCACCGTTCTGGTGTTTTTATCACAGCCTTCACTGAGATAAAGACATGTCTGTTAGCACTCATATGTTGGGCCTGAGGGCAGGTCTTCTGGTTGTAATTCAGATGCTGAGTAATTGACTACTAGTGAGAGAAAATTGTTCATAAAAGACCTCTGCTGCTCCTCTTTTGTTTGTGCAGGCAATAACTAGATTTCACAATCAAGATGTCCTCTAGTCTGAAACTGTTTGATCTGAAAGATTCTGCAGTACCTGAAGAAAATTGTACTATAAGGTAGATTTTATTCAACAGATTGGTTTAGTATTGGTTTAGTATAATATTATTATAGTAATATATTATTCTAAACCCTCTAAATCAACACATGGGCTACTTACTTTACCTCTAATCAAATCAAAGACTTTTTGATTTGAAAAAAAGTCTTTAATGAGTCAAATTTAAAAGAGTTTGATAAAATGGCAGCGATTTCTTTGAGTTTTATTTAAAAATGACATCTGTAAATAAGAGATGGCTCCGAGCTCAGTCTCATCAGTAGTGAAGTTAGCTATTTCTGGAACACACACACACACATTGATGAGTCCCACTTGCAGGCTAATTATAATCTGTACATGGATTATTCATGTGTAGTTAATGAGTCTGGGGAGTTTCCTAACTGTATTCCAGATGAGTTAACCCAGATCTAATATTTACCAGAGTGACATTAAGACAAAATGTGCACTTTACAGTAACTGAGCTTTAACAAAAAAATGTGTTAAGTTAAACTTTATGCATTGTGATTTCCTGTTTTGCCAAGCACTCCATAGCATAGAAACACCAACCAGAACTTAAGAAATTATTTTTTTCTATCTTCACTAAATATAATAAATAACCACATAGGGCTAGACAATATGGCTGAAAAACATATCAAAATATAAGTGATATGTTATATTGTGTATTGTGTATAGCAGTACATCCATATCACCTAAAACTGATAACTCAGTGACTCATTTATCTGTGATTTTGGTGTGTATATTATATGTCCACTAATACTGAAATGTCTACAAGGCTGCCAACATTTCCAAATTCAGCATGTTCCTTGACAACGACTGAAAGTTGCTACTGTCATTTTAACTTTCCTTTAATCTACTGAAGTCTTGTTCTCTCTCGCTGTCTTGCAACCTGAACAAAAGAACAAAGAACAAAAGTGTCTTTGTAGAAAAAACACTTTCCTTTAAAATTGCCTTCTATTTCTGTTGTAACCCTTTTTTAGCTTTAAAACAGACCAAACTTGCTTTACTTCCTTTATCCTTTAAAACTAAAAATGGTTAAAGTCGTCTTTACATAGTAATAGCTTCCACACAATCAAGACGGAGTGACTTGGTAGTGTTTACTTTTCACTGAACAATAGCTGTGTTTCCATTGGCTATATAATTGTCCAATTTGATATTTCCAAAATAAATTGGCTTAATGGAAACATTCCAATTTTGGAAAAAAAAAAAAAAAAAAAAACAACAAAAAAACTTCTGTCTTTTCATTAAAAAATTTTTTGGTGCTTATTTATTTATTTTGTTGGCTGTATGGAGATTGGCTTATTTTGCAAAACTGCAATGTAAGCACTTTTTTGCATCACACAAGTCACATGATCAACTACTGAATGTTGCCTCTGGCACAAACCACGAAGAAGAAGACTAAAGGAAGTAGTTGAAGGATGATGGTGCATCATGTTCTTTTACGACTTATCATTTAAACAAACTTATTCACGTGTGATTT